GGAAAATAATGAGTTATTTATGATACTAAAATCTATATTTTAGGACTTTAGTCATGAATTTCATCATTAGCAATTGAAACCTTAAAATTTTTATCGTTAAAATCATTAAAACGGTCAAAAATACGAAAATAAATTTTAATGGTCGGACATTTTTCTCTCGTTTTTAAAGTATCCACCTTGCCCTTTTTCGAACTCCCTGATTTCCGCTCTTTCCTCCGAACGCTTCTTTGCCCATCTATTCCGCATTTTTACATCCTTGGCAGCTCGTCAAGAAGGATTATTGCTTTCATTTTTCTGGAGCTGAAGCCCCTCGTCCATCTTTTTTTAAGCTAACCTTTCATTATTCTGCGCATCCCGAATATTCAAAGGTTACCGTACCCGCTGGTACCGGGTGTGTTTTTTTAGAACCGACAAAAAAATGGGACCGGAAATCAAAATGGTTCCAGAGCTTGCCAAAAAGCCCTCTCAAATTTTCGGGCCTGGGAATGTACAGCTTGCGGGTGAAAATTTAGTTGCGAAAAATTGATAATGTAATTGAATGGGAAAGTCCGAGTTCAAAGCGGAACGGCTTTGCTTTTTGTGGTGCGTTGGTTTTTAGCGTTACCGTGGGAGCCAAAGTCGCCAGTTGTTCCGAAGCATTGATTTCGAACTTTTCGAGTTAATACACCTAAAAGCTTATGAATTACGATAGCTTGCCATGATTTAAAAGAGCTTTTTCTACCTGGATTTTTTATTTTCCTATTACACGCTTATTCAGAAATTATAAGATCAGACTGCAATTAATGGCACACTTTTTTACCGAAAATGCCAAAATCCCGACATGCAAGATAGCTGTTTAGCATTTTAGCATTTTAGCTGTGGGTATAATGTTTATCGGGTTGTTGGCTGTCCATATTTTAGCCTTTCGATAGCTTTGGCTTTTCGGACTTTGGTTGTCGGCATTTTGGCTATCAGGTTTTTGCTGTCGGGATTATGGCAGTCGGAATTTTGGTTGTCGGGATTTTAGCTGCCGGGGTTTTGGCAGGAATTCTCTTCCTTCACTCGAATGCGTGTCCCTCTCCACTTCACTGTCTCCAGTTTAATAACCTTCCCCTGTTGCACTCATCCCGGCTTACTGTATTTTCCATTAAAAACAATCTTGAGAAAACAAAGGTCGCGGGGCCGACTAGTTAATTCCGTTGTTGCCCTGATCGCCTCTTCAATTCCGCCCACTTCTGGTTTCCGGATCCCACATTCACACGTAGAATGTTCGCCCTGCTACGACTATCCGATTTCCGGCTTGAATATATCATTTTTGGGCAAATATTGGGGGCAGGGTTTCCGGGATTTTGTGAAAACTAAGATGACATGAAGAAAATGAAATTTTTGATGTCGAAAGCTCTAATGTTCCAAAACCAGCTCCGAAATGTAAGCAAACCGCAGTTTCCAACTTCTGCTTTTTTTTATGCAAACCACACACCTGCTCCGATAACTTGACGCCCGTTAGAACGATTTACGACACGGTTATGACCCGAAAAATGGATCGTAATACTACTGTACTGGCACCTACATAACCACTGCAAAGCTTGCATTTGAGTTATACCCAGCCATTTGACTACCATAATTTAGTTTTTATGTGGCTTGGAGCCGGTAATCGGGATTTTTCGGGCCGTGGAAATTGTAGCCTTTCGGCTCAGTGTTCCGAGCGTAACGAACAGCCATACTTCTCCGGATTTAAACGGATTTTTTAACCTTTGGAAAGATCCGCTTACATTATTTATTTCCGGTTCTGTGCAGAAACAACAGCGCAAACTAGCAGAGGCCATTGGTGCGGGGTGACACTACAGTAAGATCTATCTGTTTTGCACCTACAAGATGATTTTCCGTTTACCTCTCAATTCCGATCATTTTTTCACTTTGTTTTGTCCGTATTCGCGACTTCTCCACTTCAAGAAAACGCCTCCAAAGCTTTCCCATCCCCCATCGGAACCGAAGACTATTCCGGTCTCTCAAACAATAACTTTTCCCCCGCAAAGCGTCACATCCTTAAATCCCAATAGATCCGGGATGACAATTCACCCGGGCGGAGAAGTTGCGCACGTGCTCGTTTCGTCACGCTATTTAAAGCCGTGAGATTTTGACGTTTTAAAAATCGTTAAACCCTTACCTTCCACAATTTTGTATTTCCACTTGCCGGTCATGGTATTTGGTTCCAGTCTGTGATCCCGAATTTAGGAATATTTTTGGATTCCGCCCATTAGCGGCATGTTTTTGCCTGGTTCGACCATCCGGAAAAACAGTCGGTTCTTGCCAGATGTTCCTGCTGGGGTAGCTTTGCCTCATAAAAGCTTGCTTGGGGTCAGAAGCCGTAAAGTACACTTCCTGTTTCCTGTGTTTTCTAATTACACGATCGTTATTAGGTACAAACCAGCTCAAAAGTTACAATCCAAGCGCTCTTGGTTAGCATCTAGAACTGTCGATAAGTTGCGTATCGTACTCCGGCAGTTTTTGATGGGTTCTAAAGGGAGCGTGCCAGCTAGAGCTTAAGTTTGACTGGAACTCGTAGAAGCTGATACAAAATTACATGGCGTGTACGTTTTGACCGCCTCTGCCTTCCGCTTCTTCCCTTTTCCCATGTCAAAAAAGTATGTTTAGAGACGCCGCATTTCGGTTTTTTTTAGTCCTGTTGGAACTCCACTTTTTAGATTTGAGATAAACGAACCGCCGAGATCGAGTTTTTCCAGGTGTTTTACTGCGTTTTTCATCGGACCTCGCCTTTAAAAACGCAAATCTTTGTTTTATTCGTGCTGAACTTGTTGAAGAAGTGGTACCAGAGGTAGAACGCTCAAGAGTTCATATCCTAAACCTCGCAAAATTATAAATTCCGCAGTGTTCCGTACCACCTGCCTTGTACTTATCAATTCTCGTTTCTTTGACTGTGTGACGCAACGTCCTTCAGAATTGCCTTCCGACGACGCCGAATTTTCACAAAACGTTTTTCACGAAAAACAACGTAAACTGGGGGCCTCCGAGGAAAATATCCTATTTTCGGGCGAGCGCCCTCGAGCCCCTGGAAAGGACGACAAAGATGCAAATCACCTAGTGCGGGGGTAGCCCTAGGTTTTCTTGGAGATCTGGTGGTGGCTTTGACTTTGTGGAATAACTCACAGAATCCCCACAAACAATTTGCTGAAATTTAATCCCTAAATGGTCCCTGCTAGTTTGCCTACCTCATGGACAATTTTTGATATCCTTAAGTTTTTCTGCAAAAATCTCTAATAGTTTACGCTAGGAAATACGTGAATTTTGAGTTTCTGAGGATTCTGCTAATTCACTTATGATAACTTGATACGGCATGCGAAATTCCTTAGGCACCTCGGCTAGCTTGCCCCGCGCCCTGAGCTATGGTAATTTGGGCAGCTGGTCAAACTTCGGTTTCGTCTCTGCTAGCTTGCCATGCGTTTGAAATCTCACTTAGAACCTCTGCTAGCTTGCCTTACTCCGCAATAAAGTGATTTGGAGGACCTCAAAATATCCTAATTCCTCACAGATCTCTGCTAGCTTGCCCGCTCATTCACCATGTGCCGGTCGGGTCAGTCGCATTCCCCAATGGTCTCTGCCAGTATCGCTTATCACTAGAGAAACGTTGGGTCGACGAGCTCTTTTAAATTCTCCAATAAGCTCTGCCGGTATACCCTTCCGATTAACAAACTAAATTTAGCTGTGGGTCGACTGGACTGGTCGAATTCCCAAAAAACTCTGCCCGATTGCCGGCTCGTCAGATTTGTGTCAATGCGAACAGCCCGTTGGAAGTCCCAAAAATTACTGCTAGTTAGCCTCCGCGCCAATACGTGAAAATCTTCTTATTTTGGATCTCCCACGTCCACTGGTTCATTGCTCATTCAGCAACCTCGTAACTCTTTACTGCCAAAAAAAAGCTCATTTCTCGCTCGTGGCGTATAAATATTTGTGTCCCATTAGCGTGGCCAAGTTGCCTTCTTTGGTTGAACTAGGCTTCAGATTAGCAGAGGGTATGAGTGCAAACGACAGCTCGGCTCGTCTGCTCGCCCTGACCACAATTCCCATTAGATTGTAGTAAACAATTATCCGCGGCTTTTGCCAATGTTTTGCTCCCGATTCCGCTGCTTTCCGGATGCCTCATTTTTCTGACCACCCCCCAAAATGATAGTTGTCCTCCCACACCCGCCGGCTGGCCCGTAAAAACCGGAAATTAGCGGTGAGGGCGGATGGCTGAAGGGTGGCCCCGGATATTCTTGGAAAGTTGCGCTTTTTGAAAAGCTTTGTCTCGTGGGGAGCCCGAACTTTATTTATTAGAATTTCGGACATAAATTGATACCAGGAAGCTTACCGAGATTCAACAGAAAAAATTATGATACCTCCGATTGGCTCTTTTTGCACTTTTTCTAAAGCTTCAGTTACTCCAAAAATTCACGCAACTTTATTGATTTCCGCTTTTATTTCCGAGTAAGGCCATTAAACAGACAGCGATACCTCAGCAAATCGAAAGTAACACGCCCATGGGGGCAAAAGTCGATAAAACACAGCCTAGGCTGCGAGCCAAATTACGTCTACTTCCTTTAAACGCCCACTTTCATACGTCGACCGCAAGTTTCACTCGCCGAATTCTAATTTTCAGGATGTCGCTATCCCTTTAAATTAGGTTTAGCCAAAGGGGCTTCTGGGGGCGAAAGCGTACGCGTTCCGTGTATCATGCTGTCTAATGCCGAGGTTCTCGTGTAGCTTTTAGCCACATGCAACGCATTCGCACGCGTCAACAAGTCTTTGCCTTTTGTTTCACCATTTTGAGGAGCTTTTTAATCTTGCTATTATGTTTAGCACTTTTTAATTTTACGATATATCGTTACGCATTTTACTGCTATATTTTTCCTGGAACTCTGCTTGAACTTTTGCTTTGACCCTCCCATTAATACCTCTTTTAAGAGCAACTATCCATATCCAAAAGTTACGCCCACCTCCTGCGACAACTGCACGTTGATATCATGGATATTTTCGGGAAGCTCGTCGTGGGAATACAGGTATGAATTATGCATTTTTTTTTATTTTTGTCCGCGTAAGATGGTGTGTTTTGTAGCCTTCCTTCCCTATGCCGGGTTCAGTGTTCTGCCCAGACCACCAAACTGCCGTCATCGTATCTCGCTAAGGAAATAACATATTTTTAGGACCGGACATTAATTAGCACATATTCCTAACGGGCTAATGGGCAAATGACACGCCTGCAAGGCTTCAGCTAGTTTTTAAAGATAGGGCTAGAGAGAGTGAGCGAGAGAGCGAGTACAGAGAGCGAGAGAGAGAGAGAGAGAGAGAGAGAGAGAGAGAGAGAGAGAGCTCCAGGTATCTGTAAAACTGTATCTTTGGGATTTATTTTACTACTGTCTGTTTCCTTGTCACTTTGAGCTCATATCTTGGGTTGATCTAGAGAAGAAGCCTGGAGAAGCTCAGGAACTACATAAAGCTGATCTTTGCTCACCTCACTTGAGTGTCTCTCATCGCGGAGTCAGGTCCAGATCTCGCAGATATGCTTTTGCTTAGTTTCTCTCTCTCTCTCTCGCTCTCGCTCTCTCGCCGACTCTTTACCGATCTCTTTCGCTTGTCATTACTATGGTGCTAGATTCGCTTGAATCAGCGTTGTGTTCCGCAGCTTCCGGTATCTCCCCGAAGTCGGATCTTCCTGGATCTCTCTTGCGCTCTCTCTCCCTCCCTCTCTCTCTCTCTCTCTCCCTCCCTCTCTCTCTTTCCTTAACTCAACCCGGCAATGAGGCAACAAATTGGAGGTCCCTCACTATTCCCCATTGGATTGGGTTCCCCGTTCCTTTAGGTGGGTCGCCCCTCTTTTTCCCAGAGCCCCAACTCCAATTAACCCGAGGGCTTTATTTTCTATTTCTTCCGCGCCGCGTCCCCGGGCCAATCACACTGCGCGCACGAAATCTCTGTCCTTGCCTGGGTGACTCGACCCCATTGGCGTACAGAGGTGTATTCTGGAATTTCGCTAAAATTCGTGCAGAATGGAGTTTGGCCTGGTGGAGGCGATGGATTTGAGGAATTGGTCGATATCGGTAAGGAGCTGGGGCAGGAAGAAGAGGGAGCGAGAGAGAGAGAGAGAGAGAGAGAGAGAGAGAGAGCGAGAGAGAGGAGAGATAGCGAGAAAGAGAGAGTGCGAGAGAGATGGAGAGAGAGAGTGACAGAGAGCTATTTTTCTACCGATTTCTGATCTTTGCGTCAGCACCCCGACCTTTCGGCCCTTCTGTGTATAATCTTTGTTTTTTTGGTGGAAGCCCGGCAAATCAGTAGGCGTTGATACTAGATTTTCTGGGACAAATACGACTTACTGATTTTTTTAACACTAGACGTCCACAGGCCCCGCACTTACGCAAAAACGAGCGTCTCGCTTTCGCTTTCGCTTTCTGCTTCTCTATCCTTCTCTCTCTCCCTCACTCTTTCTCTCTCTTTCTCTCTCTCTCTCTCTCTCTCTCTCTCTCTCTCTTTTCCTCCAGCACCATCCCTTTAAAGCACTTCGCATGACATGCCAAATCATTTTCTTTTTTTTCTCTGGGGGTTCTGATCTTCAAGTTTTGCTGATCCCGGCCTTTAGGATAATCTTTGTTTTCTCAGAAAGAAGTCTTACTTGCTTTCTGGCTAATTTAACACCTGAGGCGCATTTCTATAAATTTGAATCATACTACTGAACTTTTCGCTTCAAAAACCTTCACTCACCGTGTCTTTAGACAATTGTTTTGAATGTTGTCCAGCCGGTATCCCCTTGAAACGATTAAAAACGGGTTTTATTCATTTTTGGGATAGATACTCTGGAAGGTTTTTGAAGAGGTTTCAAAGCATAAACTGCGAGGTGTCAACCCAAAAATTTCCTTTACTAGTTACTTGTTTTGCCTAACCACCCTACCCAAAAACGCTCCGGATATGTCGCTATCTCCGCCGAAAAGAAGATATTTCGGCACCTCGTCCCATACGCTGATTTAGCTAATCCGGAGGGGTGTCTAAGGAAAAATGGATAACTAAATTAATCGGCTTTCCCAGGCGGGCGGATGTGGCAAGTATCAACAGCCCATTCCTCATATCTTCTATCTTATACCTTCTATCTTTCCTGTAGAAAAGGATGAGTAGTAGTATTCTCTTTTTCTTCCTCGGTATATCGTAGTCTTCCCGAATCTGGCGTCTCTTTTTTATTAGATTTATTAAAAGGGAAGTCTGGCACGTATCTCTATGGCATTTTGCCAAAATAAGGGTATTAATTGTTGTTAGTTCCGTAAAGCGTCATAGGAAAATGGTACTTTGGAATTGGCGCTTGACGCTTTAAACCAAGGCATGATTCAAATTTCATTATTTTTGGCTTATTTTTGATGAATTTTTAAATCATTTAGATACGGTGCTTTACGACAAATTTTCCAAAACTTCAGTGAAAAAATTAGAAAATTGTATGATGTCGGATGGATACGGTAGCTTCCAGATAGTTTTTCAGAAAAATTTTGCGTCGAAAAACGGCATTAATTCGAATTTGTACGTTTCGCAACGTTCGTGATACTTTTAATATATTTTCATGTACAATTTTTTTTCTGCCATCACATCCCAAAACCGTCATTTAATCCGGGGCTACAGTTTTCTAAGGACCGCAGGGTTTTTATTTTTAGTAGTTCGCGTCGAATTCCGAAAAATCCGTCTTCCCATACCGTCTTACGTAATTTTGCAGTTTATGTTGATCGAACACGTAGCGAACTTTTACCCTTACCTAGGGTGTTATTATTTACGAAAATCCAGAGGATGATAAATTTTCGCTACACCGGACGTGCCGGTACTGGCTTGGAATATTTGACCAATAACTACAGCGAGCAATGATTATCAACTCCGTACCGGGCCGGTCTGGGTTTGAAAAGTTCAAAATCACCGGAATATCTGCCGATTGGAATTAGGGCGTGGGTATAAGATGGGTTGCACATGTCATCAGACTTCCATTTTTATCACTTATATCACATCACGTTGGTCTTGAAGATATATAGGGTCCGTAACGCAAGCTTTACGGTATTGATCGCTTACGGTAGCTAGAAAAATTCAATTTAACGGGATCAGGAAGGCTCAGAAAAAATTAACATAAAACCTGCTTGGTGCTAAAATTAGCATAAATATTCTGTGCTCCCTCCTGCCCTCCCCCACTCTCTGCCCATTTTTTGCATTAACATTTCCGGCCGGCATGTTGCCAATTATAGGTCGGCCCTGATCGACTGGGCCTTCCTTATCCCTTTAAAAAAAGCCTTAGAATCTAAGTTATTGTAGTTAATGGAGATACATAAGTAGGATACCTAGGATATAGCATTTTCGGATCCGAATTTTACTTACTTTGGCTGTGACGGACCCGAAGATCGGTTTCAAAACATCGAAATCTTTCTTTAGAAACATAACAGATAGAAATTTTCCACGCCAATCCATGAGCAAAACAAGCTCGAGCAAAAATGCCCTCCACGTCCCTTTAATTCAAAGCTTAACCTGAACCTCATCAGATCATTGTCCTCTTCGCATTCCAAATTCAAGCCGTTCCTAATGTCTCTGACCCCAGAATCCGCGTTCCTTCCCACACAACCATCCCATCACCGCCCGCCCGCCCCCAAATCCGAATCCACCCAACCCAACATCGTTTTCTTCTTCCGTCCCATTCTATTCTGCACCTCCTTTTTCATGGTCTCTTCTCTTTCTCAAAGAAACCCATGTTTGTTCTGCAGAAATGATTGAATTACGCGTTTCGCCGCCAAAAAACCCCGGATTTTGGCCCCGAAATGAGGGGCCGGGATGAGCTGAGCGGGGTGCGAGAACGTTGCCATTTTGGCTTGGTTTTGGTCTCGGTGGTCAGGCATTTTTTTCGGGAGGGTAGGAACGTCATGAAAGAATTTCGAATTACCGTCCGTTAAATCAGGGCTATTTCTAGCCAAATCGCAGGTGGAAAAAATTTCTTGTAACTTTCGTTTTTTTGCTTATAAACTGTTGCTACGAATTTTAGTTTTGACAGTGATTACCGGACCTTGAGAAGCCCGTTTTACTTCATCTGACTTTTGGTGCGGATACTCTGATCGATTTTTTTTGTAGATAGGCACGGTTGCGTACGGTGCGCATCGCCGCGATTTCAGCGCTACGATGCGCTACGATCGTTGCGTAATGTAGCGTAACGTCGTAGAGCATTGAATTTCAGGACGGTGCTTTTCCGGCGTCGCGCTTAAATCCATAAGACTCCAGGGCTGATCTGATTATGCCATATCTAACCCTTTAAAACTAAAATTCAGGCTTCACCTCTGCTTTCGGATTTTTCCTTCTACATAGCCGGACTTATTCTGCTCTTGTTGCTCTTGATTTCTTTCCGTGTGCCTTTTTGTGACCCAAACTCTAGCCATTTTTTTGGCCCCGATCTCTCCCCCTGCTCCGAATTCCCACGATATTTGCAATTGCTAATGAAAAACCACGGGGGGTCAAGGGCCAATAATCTGAAGGGAAACCAAAAAGACCGCGGCCACTCAAGTTGGTTTTATTTACCCTAGCGTCGCGGCGTTCCGAAGATTTCGCTTTCTTATGGAGTTGTGTCCGTGTTGATCGTTTGATTTTTGATAGATTAAACGCAGAATTAGCTCCAAAAATAGAAAAACTTAAATCTATTCTATTTCAATCGAAATTCGTTAATTTTGGCTAAATGTCCTAATTGAATCCCTATAATCAATATCTTTGTAAAAACCATTTTTTGGTTATTTATATACTTTTAATTGCTGGCAAAGCTTAAAATTGGCGTTTTATAAAATTTTATTCCGCTTTTAGATGTTTTATTGGGTGTCCGCCGGTCTCCAAACTCAAAAAATCGAATAAGTTCCGCTTATTTCGAAAAGTTCCGGATTTCTAAACCGATAAATGGTATTTCGTTAATTTCTTATGATCCATCTCTTTTCACGCTTCCTAATTTGTCACTTCCTCAAAATTCCTCTAAAAGAATCCCAAAAAAATCAAATTTCCGTTCCCTTAAAAGCAAAAT